CAGACTGTGCAATGTTCAGAGAAATAGCAAAATCCCAAAGAGCTTCATCTCAGATTCTACAATTCTCAGTTAGCATGTCAAGTTTTAAAGTTCTTGACAGTACAATTAGAAAGAAAATGAAAAAGTATGGCTTGGCAAACAGAAACAGTTTAATGCTGCCTGTTGAAATTATTTATCATCAAATGTGCCTTAAATATGCCATGTACAGTCACTGTGAACCTTATACTACTTATGGTATTTATTCATTATATTTACTGAACAAATGAGACACAGCTGTGTTTCATACTACAAGCTTACTTTTATGGTATGTTAATTTTAATGTTTCAAAGTATTTATTGTCTCTAACTGAACATCAAAAACTGAAAACTTTCCAAAAAGCAACAAGTCTAATGTCTGACCTTCACTTTTTGTAAACATCTCTAAGTTTTGGGCATCTGACCTCATGTGTATCACTAATTCATTCACAGTGAAGACTTCAGTTTAACATGCATTAGGAGTACTGCTGATTACTAGCAAGCTAGCTGGCGTTGGTTCATAGCACATATTCTTCACAGCCCGGATGCTGCTGTGGTTGTTGCTCTCATGTCATTAAAGGTAAGTACTGACAGTGGACTTCATGTAAACTTGGCTACATATCACTGATGAATACTAATGCACTGAAAATAGCAAGTCTAAGTAGAAGGTGCGTGATGAGTCTACAGCCATGTTAGTATGCTGTTAGCATGAAAGCAGGTGTAATGTTCAATATGCTGACAATCTGACTGTTATTGCTTGTTTCACCATGTATATATTTAATACCAGCAGCTAATGGGAATGTCATCATTTATATAAGAATTAACTTATTAAGAAAAGATTAAAAATATCAAAAGTTACCAATTCATCATGCAGTGTATCCAAAGCTCTCAAGACCTTTTACTAACAATGTCATCCTGGTGATGGCTCTACAGAATAAGTTGCAGGATTGCCAAAAAACTATAACTGAGGACCATGAATGTCTAATATTTACTGAGATATACAGAACTGTGCAAAGGTTTTCAGTCAACCAGTATGTCTTTATGCTTTACTTTCAAGGAGACAGACTTTCTTGTATTTTTAAAGTGGCCTTGAGCAGTACTTTTCCAGGATTTTTTAAGGTCTTTGCTTTTTTTGAAGGTTTTTTGAAGGTTTTTGAAGGCCTTTGAAGGTCTTTGCTTTTTCACTCACCCAGGTCATAAGAATAAGTTAAGCCATTTAACACTGACCTATGAATCACTTAAACATAAAGGGGAACCTAACAGATGGTTTGATGGACATAAAATATTATTTTTGCATTTACAAGATGTTTCTGACAGAGTTACTGCTGAAAACGTTGCATATCACAGCATGGTGTGTTTAAAAAAGTCTTAAAAAGTTAAAAAGTATGTCCTTAGGAAAGAATCCAGCAAAGACCTGACACAGAACATGAGACATGCATCTCAATTTTCAGTTGTTTTGTCTACTGTTTGCTGAAGCCAGTGATGCTGGTTTGTAATATTTGATGAAATTATTAAGGCAGAAGGGTACCACGAGATTTTGATCCACCATTGAATACCATCTGGAAACCATCTGATTCACAGCAGCTTCATTTTCCAGACTCACAGTGATCCTAAATACTCTGCAAATACAGTAGAAGCATAACTGGATAGAGAAACACATAGTGGCAAACTGTTGGTCATAGATTGGCCTCTTTAGAACCCGGACATCGATATTTTTTAAAGTGACGTGGCATCGTGTTGACAGAGAACAGAACAAAAAGCACCCAACATACAAAGAAGAACTTTGTAGAATATCCTTCACGAAATCTCGAGAACTATTCCTGAAGACTACTAAAGAAATTACAAGGTTGTTTGCATAACAGATTTAAATTGTATTGTCACATTACAATAAATCACTGCACCCATTTCCCATTATAGCAAAATTACAAGAACTACGAGGTGATTTGAGAGGTTCTGAATTAGTCTTGACTGAATGGACCATTATGATGTTTAGAACCACCAATATGATCTAAAACACAGGAATGACTAAATCGAGCAGTGATGCTCACTGTTAGATGTTCACATGACCAGTTCCTGAATCTAAAATGTCTTATAACATTCAAACAGTCTTGTAGCTTGACATATAGGCTTTACTTCAATCCTGGGCAATCACCCAAGCGTGCGTTTTTTGTGTTTACTTTCATTACTCTTGGGGGCATACAGTTGCAACTTTCTTTTAGTTTCAAAAAGCATGTCCCAAAACAGAAATAATCTAATTTTATCATAAAGGCATGTTTTAAGACTGAGGGTTATGGTGGGGATTAAGGTAAGTCTCCAGGAAAATAGTGAGAGTCAGTGCAATGCCCTTTGAAGTGATGGAAACACAACTGCATGTGTGCGTGTAAGGAGCAGGCGGGTCAGGTAAGGCTGTGTCTAAACATGCCATGTGCCCTGAAGTCTTGTTGCATCACTGGACATAAAGGGTCAGGCTTAATCTCCCCTCTGATTATTTTCTTCCCTCTGTTCAACTACAATACATGACCCCTCCTCATCTACCCTGCCCACTTTTCTTTTTATTAGCCCTACTCTCAAAAGGGGAATAAAATAAAATAAATAAATCAGTAAGATATACTGAATTTTCTCCAAACTCTAAGCCGACTTTGAGGCTGTGGGAGTGTTTTTGAGGGGTGGAAACATATCAGCATTACAATCACACACAGCTGTTTGTATTCTGTTTTGGGAGCTACAAAGGAAGGGTTCATGAAAGAGATTGACAGGAGAGGACAAGCTTTGCCGCAGCTATGCCATCTTATTAAGATATTTATACTACTGATCCTAATGAAGAATCACTATTATATTATCTTACACAGTCCTGTGAAATGGGATGTTTTCACAGGACTATGCAGTCCTGTTAAAAACTGAGCTCATCCCGTACTGCTTCCATGGGAATTAAGAGAGTGAGTAGCAGCCAGGCGCTGCTAATCAAATGCACTTGATTAAATGATCATCAGCAAGCATGACCAGCTCTATGAAAGCAGAAGTTTTGGCAGTTTGCTGGTCTTCAGGTTTGTGTTACCACAATGCTACAATCTTTCCATGACTGGACATCCCAGCAAATGAACCCCAAGGTCAGAGCGTGCGATGCTCAGAGAAACAGCAAAAACCGAAGAGCTGCATCTCAGACTCTACAGGCCTCAGTTAACGTGTTAAAGGTTAAAGTTCATGACAGTACAATTAGGAAACGACTGAATAACTATGACTTGTTTGGAAAGATTTCCACAAGAAAGTCTCTTCTCTGTAAAAATAACACGACAGGCCAACTTAGATTTGCAAAGTTTCGCCCGAACAAACCACAAGACCTCTGGAACGATGTCCTCTGGACAGATGAGCCCGGAGAGAAAATGTTTGATCATAATGTACAAAACCAAATCCAGCATCATACCACCTGTCAAGCACGGTGGTGGAGGGGTGATGATTTGGGCTTGTGTTGCAGCCAGAGGACCTGGGGATACCTTCTCACTGAGTTGACTGTGCACAGCAAAGTATTCTAGAGCAACAGGATTGCAGAGAGTCCTGTGAAAAATCTTTGATATGACAATTTATGCCTTATCCAGGAATGTGTGTAATAGACTGGTGACCTGTCCAGGGTGTACCCTGCCTTTTGTCCTGTGCCAGCTGGGATAGGCTCCACTAACCCTGGGACTCTGAAAGGGATAACTGGTTAAGAAAATGGATGTATATTCCTAATCTGAGGGTGTAACTCCAGTAAGGAGTACTTCCAGTAAGGAAATCAGCAGTAAGATTACCCCATGAAGTCAAATGTTTATATTCTCCCCCCCAAAAAGTAAATCAACCAAAATGTTAACTGAAATAATAAAATGAAGAAAAAAATAAAGGTGGTATTTGACAGTTTCATCTTTGGCAGAAACACGAAAAGGAGATTGTTCAAAAGCAACCAGCAATTTATATGTCCTGGGCGCTGGAGGAGACTTGAAGGCTTAAAGGTCTGAGATGTGAAATGGCAGTCAATTGATTGTATTCTAGAGAATTATATAGATGGTATCTGTTTCAGAAACCCTCTGTTATATTCCTGTTACAGTGAATAATCACTTAAATATCTAAAAGTTACAACAAAACATATTTTAATCTTAGTGATAGTTCTTTTACATAGTGGCTGCTGGATGGATTAACAGCTGATCAATGTCGCTGAGCTGACTGTACAGTTATATATGTATGTGCTGGGGGTAGTTCGGTGAAACAGTGATATTACTGGAAATCACCAGTCCACACAGCTTATCTATTTCTGGCTAGAAACATTGTGAAATACAATTAGCAGATAAATGTATCAGATAATGTGGAGCAAACAAAGTCCTTTCTGAGTAAATATTACAGAACTTCATATGTATGGTTATTTTGTTCCTGTTACAGTAACTGATCAGTACCTATTATGAGTATTGTCGTTACTCAGTAAATGACAGTATCTAAATATGCAAATATGTGCTGGTCTCCCTTCAGAGTTTCTGAAAATTTAATATTAGAGCTGAAACGTTTGCAAAAGCTTCAGTGTCACATAATTCCTGTAGTTTTTAATTTAGAGCTACTTGTTGCTATTGACACTGAAACTAACTTTTTTTTTTTTTTGGTGGATAAAAACAAATCAGTTCAAATCCATTTCAGCTGCTCATCTTGTGCAGTCACAATTATGAGACAGATATAATGAGATGATTTTTAAGCAGTTCTTCATCCATCCGTATAGAAATCAAGGGCTCAGAAGTTGTTTCTAAATTTTCCACATTAGTTTTCAGTCTGAGGCTCGGTCGCCTTCCTGAAGCCAGCTAAATAAAGCATCAGGTGACCGGGACACTGCAGTGAAAAAGAGAGTCTCCTTCCGAGGTCAAACTGTTGCTGTTTGATTGACGGCCAGCTGGAAACCTGCTGCTACCTTGAGGGAAAACGCAATGCGTGGATGTTTTGTATTTGTCTGAGAGAGCAAGAGAGAGAGAGAAAGAGAGAGAGAGAGAGAGAGAGAGCACGTCTGCTGCTGCGTCTGTTCTCTCTCTCCCTATCACACACTCTCGGGAGCAGCGCTTTGACGCACCACGCAGAGTTGGATTATAGTATTGCGCGCTGGTCTTTCACGATTTTCTGTCCCTCGCGTTACCCTCACCGCTGACCGGCAGTTGATATATTATCGGGATCAATATCTCTCCGCCACGGTGACCTCTGCTGAGCTTTTCTTTTCTTTTTCTTTTTTTGGGGGGAGAAAGAAGAGCAGCCGCGGCTTCCTCGCAGGACGCGTGTTGTGAATTACAACCAACAGAGCCTTACCTGGAGTGTGTGCGTGTGTGTGTGTGTGTGTACATGAGAGAGGGTTTCTTTGGAACGGATCAGATCAAGGACCGAGGTGTTTCACTGTCTTTGCTCCGCGGGCACACATTTACATACACAGGCACTGCACTCACCGGGGGGATTTGGGCACCGCATGCCGGGGACATGTGGAAGTTTGCGCCGCTGTAGCGCAGCCAAAGAGCCGCTCTACCGCCTTATCGAGCGCCCCTATTTCTACCCAGGGGGACCCAAGTCCCTGATCACAGTCCTCACGCACTGAAACCCCTCTCAGAGGACCCAAATGTAAATTCAGAACCAGACATTTCTGAAACACGCGTGTGCTAAGGGAGGACAGCGAAAAGGAGGACGGCATCCCGTTGCGTGCAGAGTTTGGTGAGCTCCTCCGGGGGATTTCGGGGCTTTATCTTTTAACGCCCTTCTGTTTTCACGGTGTTTTTGCGGGTCTCATATTGGCCCCCACTTGCCGCAGTGATGGTGGGAGTTCGGTGCCCCGTTGGCCCTCACCGCTCCCCGGTGACTGTGCTGGGGCTGCTGGTGACTGTTCTGGTCCTGTCCAGCGGAGCAGACGGTCAGCCATGCCCGGCCCAGTGCTCCTGCACCGGTACGACAGTGGACTGTCACGGACAAGGACTGCGCAATGTGCCCAGAAACATACCTCGAAACACAGAGAGACTGTAAGTACGGGATTGTATAGATTTGACCTAAAATTTGGAAACATTGCATAAGAAAAGTCACCATAATGTCGTGTTGCCATTTCTTTCATGCTTAAATGATGAAAAATAACGAGACTGCATTTACCTTTTAATGCGGCGATTCTTCTGAAGGGGTGTGAGGAGTTTAAAGAGTTTATGGAGAAAAAAACGTCACACCTTCTGATGTTTTAGCACCCAAATTTTATTCCGATCAGTGGTTAGGAAATGTCATCAGCTCATATCATAATTATGATCAAACATTATTCCCCCAAATTTTCCTGTCTAATTAATTTGTTTTTAACCGGGAGGCACTGAAAATGTCTCTCTCGAGGACCACATCTTTAACAGCGCAGAGCTTTTTGTCATGTCTAACCTATACTTTCGGCCTTGTTAACGCCGCAGTACGCAGCTGATGTAAATGTTGGTGTGAGGTATAAATGATAAAAACACTAAAGCTCGTTTTGGTGCCTAATACGAGGACACGTCAGTGCTGATCGCGGAGCTGAAGTTGGGGGGCTGCTGTGGTTGTTGGTGGTTTTGAACTGTTGCATTAGCACAGCCTCCGTAGACCACATCGGTTTGTCAGCAGACCAGCGAGTTAATCAAAAACGGATTTGGACAAGTGGGCTCCGAGTTTATCATTAAAAGACCCCTCGATGAAATTAACACTTGCCGATGTAGTGCAGCAGCCACAGCTCCTCTCAGTTTCTCTGACAGTCAGATGACCCTGCGTTGGCTACGGAACAAGAAGTTTCAGCAAAAACCTCCTTCATCAATGAGCACCATCACAAACATTGTCCTCGATGTATTATTTATCTTTTTTTAATTACCTTTTTAAAATGTAATTTTTCTTTCTAGGGACCTGAATGCAAACAACCTCACTAAAATCACGAAGACGGATTTCGCAGGGCTGAGGCATCTGCGAGTGTTGTAAGTGACTTTTATTCGGCGAATTTTATTTTATCCACTCTTTATCCCCTCCTCTGAAGATGCGAAAAGGAAAACAACAATATTCTCTCCCACATGCACTGTTAAGCAGCACCTTGCATATCCAGAAAACTTTCCAACAGAACATCACAGCACAGAGATTTAACAGTTTCTGGCCGTGCTCGGCAGCAGCAGCAGATTCATCCAGCTCTGGAGCTGCTGCACGCAGGCACTGCATCCAGTGGTGGGAAGCTGCGGTTTCACTGAGCCATCATAAGTGTCTAAACAGAATAGCAGCGGCACCTGTTAATGCTGTCGTGTTAATCTGCCAGTGGAAGTGTCAGGAGGGGGCTTATTTTAACCACCGGGCCCCGGGGCCCATGTGCTGGAGTGATTAACGCGCTGGCGAGGAAGTGATGGAGGGTAAAAAGAGGAAAGAGATAGCGGTCATTAGGTGTAACCGCGGAGGGAGGAATGTAGCTGCTGGAAGGGAGGGAAGGGTGGAAGGAAAGGAAGAGAAGGGGGAGAGAGTCAAGTAAGAACAGGTTTCTTTACCTGGGATGAATCCAGATTAAAGAGTTCCCCTGCACCATCACTGCCGGGACAGGGATAGCTGCTGTGCGCGCTATTCAGCAGCCGAAATGAATGGAAGGGAATAGACATAGTTGGAATTCCTCCAGAGATTATGCCCTTAATTGTGTGTATGTGTGTCTTTATTTGTGTGCTCTAGTTTTCACTTTAGCTATTTCCGGTATGTTCACCCAAAAGCACCATAATTAGTGAGTTTATCGACATTTTTTTTCAAGCAAAAACACTGCACTTTAAAAAAAAACCCCGTGAGAATAGATTTTTTTTTTTTTTTAATTTGAGAAATTTGTGAGAAGAGTCTTTAAAAATATAAGTCCCCCCTTTTTTTTTCTTATGGGGCTGTATTAAAAAATAGTATTGACTCACTGATAAATCAATTAATTAAAAAAAGAAGAGCTCAGTGGAGATGGCCCATAAAAGCCTTTGTGTTTTTGGTTGGCTTCGTCAGCACACTAATCTTAGTGGAGTTGTGCTAGTGTAAGTGAAGGAGTAGTCAGAGCTATGCGGTTAGATAGAGAGTAAATTGGATGATAGATGAGTCGCTGTCCAACTGATGGGCCAGTTTTAAAGTCAATTCTGGGACTCTATCGACCCGCTGCTGATTGTCTCCCCTCTTTCTTGCTTTTTTTAAACCTTCTATCACTTTCCATCTCCACCAATCTGCTTTTCTCCTTTTTTCACACCCAGTGCTGCCTGATCCTTCTCTATTTCTCCCTCTCTCTCCTCTCCAGTGTCAATCTCCTGTGCCCTATCTCACTCCGTCTTTCTCTTCTCTCTCTTATCGCTGGCCCCATCCAGCCATCTTTCTCCTTTTTTTTGGCCTCTTATGGTTTCATCACACAAATCACTCTGTCAGCTCTCACGCTCTGTGTCTCTCTATCACTCTCCTTCCCCCCTCTCATGTCGTTCCTTTTTTTATTGTCCAATTCACATAGTCTCACACTCTCTTGGTGTTTCTCTCTCAGGCAGTTAATGGAGAACAAAATCACCACAATCGAGAGAGGAGCCTTCCAGGACCTGAAGGAGCTGGAGAGACTGTGAGTAATGATGTGTTGACGCCATTGTGTTAATTTAATTCTGTATAAAATCAGTTTGCCCAGCCTTAAAAATTCCAAGAACGCGCATGCCCGTCGATTCATTTATATATCTGGATGCACAGATCAACAAGTGTCATATAAAATCTCTTTTCAGTTATTGGGCGGCCACAAGCTGCATTATTTGTCTTTGTTAGAAGTTCTCCAAGTCTGTAGAGCTTTACTTCTTCCAAAAAAACATTCCCTTATTCTGTGCTTTGGTGACTCTCAAGGACTCTGTTTAAATATCCTAACCCACTGCTTACTAACAACATTAACAGTCCTTAGTGCAAGAGGGGTTTTGAAAAAGCCCTTTAAAGAAAAAAATATTTGGTTAGCCTTTGTCCAATGAGCTCTGAATACTTAGTGACCTTCTAGGACTGCATGTTTCAGTTGAAAGTGGGAAGAATAATGTCAGCAGATTATATTATATACTAGCCAGTGGATTATGAATCATCACCGGAACTTATGGATTTCTTTATCATTTATTTATTTATATATTAACTTGAGTTGCAGCAATACCAGAAATCAAGGACAGGCTGACTTTAGCTATCAAAGCTTTCAGTGAAAATACCTAATGTGACAGCAGTGAAGACAAACTATTTCCCCAAGTTTTTAACATGATCATCCTGCAGTCATCTAGAACAGCCAGAATCATACCAAAAAGGTGATAATGTATCCAACCTAATTAGTGACCCCTCCTGCTCCGTGTGAATGCATGCATCATGTTTTGCCACTTTTATGTCAGTTACCCCAACTTGGCCTCCTGCAAATCTGTTCATGTGGCAAATGTTGAGTCTGAGTGCCATGGAAGTGAATGAAGAACAGTCAGAAGTTTTTACAATGCCAACCTGGTATCACAAGTCAGCATCCAGACAACATAAGGCCTTTATAACATTATTAAATGTTGGTAGTTTATGTGTGTGAGAGAGAAGCAGAAAGAAGGGACAAGTAGCCTCGCTGACCAGTGATATGCCCACTGAGTTTTGTGTACTGTCATATATATGTGTACATGTATGTATGTTTGTGTGTGTGTGATCGTTCAAGTGGTGTGGTCTGAATGACAGCACATGACACATGGGAATGCAGTGGACTGACTGAGTGTGAGGAGTCTTAGTGACAAGCTTTAATTAAAGCCACTGCACACACACACACACACACACACACACACACACACACACACACACACACACACACACACACGCATTTACAAAAACAGATATATTGGCATATGCAGAGAGATATCCACCTGGACACACACACACACACATACACAGACTAAAAAATAAAAATAAAGCAGTTCATCTTTTTTTATGGCTCTTGTGGGTAACTTTGTCACAAGTCAGTGGGATGAAACTGATAAAATGTGACTTTTTTGGATGCTTTGGTGTTGACCCTGTCATGCCTGGTTTTTCTTTGCTCTCTGCTGCACTATAGCTGCTCTTTGTTGACAGAGAGAGAGAGAAGCTCTGTAAACCGCTATAAGGAATCTGCTAGTGTTTCTCATGCAACCAGCACTGGGCTCTGTCCAGCTAAGCGGTTCTGGGAATTCCTACTCAGAGTTGGTGACAAAGAGGGCAAAATTTAACTACATATGGTCTGGATTTAAAAGTAAACTTTGATAATGATTACCCTCCCTCCAAAGAGATGGTGCAAGCTAGTAAATACCCTCTTTCATGCACTCATATAAGCAACACAGCCTTGAACATAGATTGTAGTGTGGTAACAGCAACAGCTGATAAAGTCTTAGATATCTAATGTGAAATCATGCACGATATGGCTGTCTCTCCTTTTCTGTCTTGTCTCTGACAACAGCAAACTTTCTGACACAACATGGCTGTCTTCTGTTGTCCTTGCAAGTTTTTCTCTGTAATTCAGCTTCTCTTGCGTGGCATGTTCACAAACACAAAGATGGAGTCAGTCATCAATGCCCCCCAACAGCTACCATACAAAGGCGCGTCTCTGGAGTCTGGAGTCTGAGGGCTCATTTCAAAGCCCTCCGTCCTCTCGGGGGCTGGAGGGGGCCTGCTGGGCACCACAGCCCAGAGGAGAGGGCCCTAAGCTTGGCTGACAGATCCATACTGACTGCCCCCCATGGGGGCAGAAAACGGTTCCCCTTCACATCTTTTTTTTTTTTTTCTTTTGCGACAGGCCCCGAAGGGCCGGGCAGGGCTGGGTCAGGTGTAGGGCAGTAGCCTTGGGGGTACGGAGGAGGGGCATGTGGTTGAAGGAGGTGTGGAGGAGATAGGCATGTCACAACACAACTGTGCACATATCCAAACACATTCATGTGTTTGGATATGTGCACAGTTGTGCACATATCCACTCGTGCATGCGCATTCACTTACGCAAGGCTGCTCTGTCAGTACCGGTTTTATCTTGATTTGGAGGACCCCCCCAAAGCCACTCGCGCCGTTTTCATTCATTCCTTAACCTCTCCTCACGTTTTTGCTCCTTACGCACCCATCTGGCTCTCTCTCTCTCTATTGTCCTGTGCATATAGGAATGCTATACATTCTTTACTCTCACCCTGTGGGTGTAGAATAGTTAAGTGAGGAGTTCCCGATCCTCTTATCCTTCACTTACTTGACTGTTTTACAGCCCCTGTTCAATTCAAAGTGTGTGAGAATGAAGGAGATAACAGCCTCAGACATGCAGGGAGAATGAAAGCGATATTGCAGGTACCAAGACAGTAATTTCAGAGAAAATCAGTCTGCTAATTCCTTCGATGATTAGCCTGCAACTGACTGATCACATTATTTAAAGATAATTTTTACCGAGATGAGTAATCGCACAGCTGATTACAGTGGTGAGATGCGTCTATCAACAGCAATTACAAAGTAGATAATGAAGCCTCAAATCAAGTGATCGTGCTGTAATATGTTGACAATATGAACAGCAGAAGATAATTGTAACAGTGATCCCAGATAGCGGGGGTATGGATTTCAAAGAAAAGCTCTGGATTAGTGCGAAATGATTAGCTCTAAAGCCCGTGAGTGATAAAATTGTTCCCGCTGATCATTTCAGGGCAAAGTTTACATTTTTTTTCTCCATTTTTACTGAGCAGTAGAGCTTGAAATTATCTGCGCTGTGAAGACACAAAGCCATTTTCACCACAGCAGTTCTGTCTAAAGAGCCATTCGAGATAGATTTTTCAGAGTCTCTGCTGCACCCAACATTTGTTATGTTTGTTGGTACACACCAGTTCGCGGAAAGTTTAGAGGAAAAGCTGCCCGGCGCTGCTGAATACGAATGATTTTAACCTGATAGCAAAGGAATTCAGTGTTTAGGAGATAAGACTGAATTTCTGCATTTCTGTGTTTTAAGGCAAGAGATGGTATCTTTCATTAGTGTTTAAATAACAGATCAGATTAGAGAGTGTAAATCTCTGGTGGGTGATAGATATTGGCTCGCTTTGGATGCACGAGCTGTGAACCGAAAACATGAACTGTTGAACCGCATTCACACCCATTCACACACACACACTGGTCGGTTTGAAGTGGTTTTTGGAGTGGAGACAGTTTCTTAGGTTCATGGAAATGTCTGCAGTGTTTTGGGTTATAACTGTGGTGCGTGTGTTTGTGTGTGTGATAGACTGACTGTTAGTTCAGCATGTGTATTATGGCTGCAGCAGCATTGGTGGAGTAATAATTGGTTTCTGAGGCGGTTTGTTATTTTCAGTCTGCAAGGCTGTACTACTGCGCATCAACATGGGTCTGAGGTGTTAGGGTTGCGTGTGCGTGTCAGACTTTTATGTTTGTGCGAGTATTCATGTGTGTATGTACAGAGATTTGGCACACTGTGCATGTTTGCGAGTGTGTGTTTACTGTGCGGTTTCTGGGCTTCTAGCATCTGTTTATGACTGCGGGGATTATCACCATGCTGCAGTGTGACATTAGCTCGGTGGAGTGACTCTCACACCTCGGACTACTGGCTACTCCGTCTTCATTCTCTTCCAGCCAGACTTTGACTAATGAGACATGGCTGTGGAAGCACTCTGAGGCTGTTTGTGCACACACACACACACACCCTCACACACTGTGATATAAAAGATAGAGATACGTTCTTTCAGATGTAGAAGGAAAAAGGCTCAACAGTGGGTGGTAATTGCAGACTAGTTTAGCCTATAAATGTGCGGCATGTGGAACTGGTTCGTGCTACACATTTGTCTTTATACACAAAATCATCAAATAAACTAAATCACTACATGACTGGAGAGATTTCATTGTTTGATTCAGAAGTTTATGTTCAAGCAAATTCTTTTGCAGAACTTTAAAAGTGAAGTGACAATTAGCAGCTGAGCCAGCTCAGTGGTGATGGAGAGCTTGCAATAGGTTGACTGTTGAGCTGTTAATCTTTTAGTCAGTGCTTCCTTAATTAGGGTAATGCAGCAGTTCAAATTAACAAAATACGGAGAGCAGAATGAGCGCTGAAGACCAAAGTGAGAAATGTGCAAAGTGGAGTCGTGAAAACTGGCAAGTCAGCTGATGTAGCCTCTGTAAGTAACAGCAGACTTTGGAGGTCTTAGTTACAATGTAACTACAAAACATTTCAGCCAGGCTAAAATGTTTTGTAGTTACATTGTAGCTCTCAGATTTAACTGAGAAACCTGTTAAGAATCATCACTGTTTTTTTCAGTAGTTTTGTTTCATAAGGGAACTTTTCAAATCTCAGAAAAATGATTTGTAATTTCTGCCTCTAATGAACCACACTTAACCATTTACGTGGTTTATTACACAAATGTATTTAAGATTGTTTTAAATGTCCTACATATCATGTTGGAGTAAATCACATGTGACGTCAGCCACATTGTGCGTGTCATGTTCATGCAGAGTTTATGTTGGGGCCGGGGAGTCATAGTCAGTACGATCTAGTGTGTAATGACACATAAGAAGTCCAAAATGTTTGATTACATGTATAATAACTTAAGCTGGACCCTTTATTCTCATTTCCAGCTGCATACTATTATTCTTGGACTCCACTAGAGTTTCCTTAATTCAAAGTTTAAAATAATCCTTATTTATCTTATACTGGATGCTGGTTCGCTCCTCATCTGCTCGCTGAAACAAAACACTTTAGCTCCTCACCCTTGAAGGCCACCCTCTTTTGAAGCCAACTTTCTTTTGATTGGCTGCCCTTCAGAAACAGAAACTTTGATCAGCAAGAAAGTAGAGATGAGTAGAGAAGGAAAACACACACACACACACGCTATCCGAAATGGGACACTCAGTCTGAAGGCCAAGCTTCTGGCTCACGGGAATTATTTGTACAAACACTGAAATCGATATTTGAAACTTTGGCAATGTTTAATGTTTAAAATAAGAAAATTTGTGGCAGGCGCACTTTAATGTTATTCGTGTTATGTTCATATGCAGTGTTGCAATGATAGGCTGAAATGTCTGGTTACGTATGATGGTAGCCTTTTATTTATTTTAAGTATGGCAGGGGGTTTGTTTCTGTTACAGTCTACTGTAAATAACTAAGTTACTTTTTTTAAAATTAATTTCAATGATTTAATTAATTCATTTGGTCTTCAGCGCTCATTCTGCTCTCTGTATTTTGTTAATTTGAACTGCTGCATTAGCATAAATTAGTCATGAAAATAACTGTTGGCTGCTTTTTTTCTACATCACTGTATTTGGAGCTGCCCATCAGAAGTCTAAATGATCTGTTTTTTGATATCACATTGTTTGTAATGTGTGAGAGTGTGCGAGGAAAGTAAAACCGTTTCAGACTTTTATAATATTTGTAGAACTAAAGCAGGAAAAACAGAAGAACTCTGCACGGGAATCCTGGACTGTAAATCTGAACAATCTCTATGTTGTTAATTGCTAAATATATTATAGATAATGTGATGATCAGACGGATATTCTAGTGAAGAAATGAATAAAAGGTTCATTAAAACACACTGATAACTCGGCGGCACCGTGGAGCAGACTGGATTTGATCTCTGTGTCCTGTCTCTACTTCATTTCGTGTTTCCTAGTCTGACAGCATTGCCTCTATTTTAAGGCGATGAGCTCATACCACCTCTCTGCTGTCGTTCCTCCTCCCTACCTCGAACACCAGTCCGTACACTCTCCCAGGGGGATGTCTAGCCCACTAACGGGCGCTCATGGCTGGGCAGGACCTACAGGGGGAGTGTGCCTCTCCGTGGGGCCATGTGGGGCTCTTAGCTGCCAGAAGCAGCGTTAACGGAAGAGGAGTGAATAATTTAGAAACATCATTTCTGCGGGACGTTAAATATTTAAGCAGCCTCTGATGTAACTGTGGAGTGTGAATGTGCATGCGTGCGCGCGGGCACGTTCACATATTTGTGCTCTTGTGGGTGGAAGATGGACACAGAGGGGGTGACGTTATTTAAGTCCACATCGGCTTCTAGTGATGCAAAAAGAGGTGAAAGACAAAGGTTAAGAGGAAAAAGTCAACGAGAGAATGAAAAAGAGATTTGGGGAAGTTTTGAAAGGAGCTGGTGTTTTTGTTTGAAAATGTGCAGTACTTCTGTTAGTTCATATGTTGTTGTTTTTTTGTATAAATCACACTCAAGTTTTCTTCTTAGTTTGAAGTAACTTCTAGTTCCTGCCGTGTTTTCTTTCTTCGTCCCCTCCTCCTCTCTTCATTCCCGTCCAGTAGCACCCAGCTCAGCATCCATCGTTTGGGCCTGTCAGTGTGTGCGGGTGTGTTTGTGTCAGGGTTAAACTGTTTCAGCAGCCTGTCTCTCATTGTGTCACTCTGTTGCCTCCCTCTCCTCTGACACACATCAAGCACACACACATCAACACACACTGCACACAAACCTCTTCACTCCACTCAACCAGGGTTAAATGATCGCACCCAGATTATTAAACTCACCCGAGTCGTCTCCACTGTGTGTGTGTGTACGTGTGTGTGCGTGATGGGTTGTTGTGAGTTCTTCCCCTGTGAGGGCCTTGTTTACTCAGTGGGGTCCTTTTCACACATTCGGTAGCCCGGCCAGACTGCCTGTTTGTTTTTCCCACATCGTCTCCTCTCCTCCGTCTTTGTGGCAAAAACGCCCCTCCGCCCTCCCTCCATCTGAACCCCTTCCCTCGTCTTCCTCCGCCTGCGTTCCCTCCATCCTTCTCGAGTTCACTGTTTGTCTGGCAGCCATGTTGTACCCCTAAATCATGGATAACCGTTTTCTTTCAGTGTCCATGCATGACCACGTATGTGTGTCTCCATCAGTCTCCCAATTATTTCATGCTCTCAAATCGTATTACAATCAAAACAGTGTAACAGAATTTAATACAAAGTCCAGGAAACACAAATCCCACTTTAAAACAGCTAATTATACACAAATGTACGAGCTTCCAACCGCAGTCTTTGGAACGAGCAAGGTCGAGTTTATTCCCTAATTCCTGTTGTATTTCTGCAGGCGCCTGAATCGGAATAATCTGGCTGTCTTTCCCGAGCTGCTTTTCCTGGGAACAACGAAGCTTTACAGACTGTAAGTCGTGTTTTTATTTATTTTTTTTGTCCGTCACTCGTTTGCCCTTCATGGTTAACCGAAATATTCTCTAACTATTAGTATGTTTTGCTAAGAAGCCTTAAGATGATCTAGATAAACTTTGGATTCATGTAATGGTGTGTTTGTGTATATCACCACAACGTTTGCACAGTTCACTGAATAGGACTCAAAATTATGTGAAAATGTATGTTGCAGATGCTGCAAAGCAGAAGAAAAAAAACAATGAGGTTTTGCTGTGTGACCCAGTCTGGGTGTTTCACTTGGATGAAGGAGTGAGAGAAGTGAGAGAGCAGATTTTACATGGCTCTCTCCATAAAAGCCAGTTCAGTAGCTAATGGAGATTAGCACTCCAACAGCTGCTGCCCACTGGGAGAGAGGTGTGTATCTGTGTGTATGTGTGCTTGTGTGTGGTTGTGTAGGAGAGGATGAAGAGGAGAAAGTGAGCATGACCGACTTACTGGTATAAGCAGTGAACAGGTTTCCCTCCTGAAGTTACATTTTGTGTTTCACGGGCAGAAAACAGTTTTCGTTACAGAACATAAATGTTCCAGGTTGCATTGAAGCCGACGAACCGCTGTTTGTTGTCATCGAGCACCTTCCGCTCCCCTCGCTGCCCCGTCGTCTGCGCTGCAAACCGAGCACTACAGGGCTGGGCTGCAACGCCACTGAAACTGTGGGAACTAACTTCCCGTCACGGTCATTTGCGGTCTCAGGGAATAATTATGGTTGCATATATTTATATGAGTGGCTGAATGTATTTACAGTATCTGAAACAATATTGAAATGCTCAGATGATTCAGAGTGTGTGAAAGTTGTTTATGTTCTGCGGCTGCCGCAGTGGCCGGCTGGGCATGACCTGTTGTGTCTAAGGGTGTGTGTCTGCCTGTGTTTGAGCAAATGTGTGCGTGTGTGTTTCCCAAGGCCGAGAGCTGGCATTTTGCTCAGCGTGTGGGCTGAGGTAAAAATACTACTTGGATATATTGCTCTGTGCTCAGCTTGTTGTAGACAAGTTGAGCGCGAGTGTATATCTGCCTCTATATGCATGTGTTTGTGCGAGCCTCAGTCCTCCAGGTGTATGTGTTTAGAGGAGAGCCCCTCAATGGCAGCTCATCTTATCTGAACCGGCACAGCTCGTTCCATAGAACCACATTTAAGCTGCTGTGTTGTTATTTCTCAGAATTAGATTAAATTATAAAACCCACGGTGAACAGAGAAAGAATAAAAACACAAACTTCCACAGAAAAATGCTGTTAAACAGGTTTCTCAGATGTATGGAACTCATTCAGCTTGAATGGCGACCACAGAGGTTTGGCCAATAGTATTTAAGGCTGTTTGGTCAATATTAAATCCTACGTCTGCTTCTCTACACCCCCTACAGTTTATTTTAATTTTAGAAATCGCAACGAGAAACTCCTGAGAACCTCTGAAGTGGGATCTTGTTAAGTTTTATATTGAGGGTTGTAGGTATGTGCTAACTTGACCGGCTTTGGTTCTTGCAACAGTACTTCTATAAATGAATACTTGCTCAACCTGCTATTATGAAAATTATGTTTTCACTGTTTTTGGGGCTTGGAAAATCTGTGT